AAAGGTATGTATGGATAGAAGAAACTGAGAAAAAAAAAAAGATAGGAAAAGAAGTAAATAAGAAATAAAAAAAAAAGTGATCGGTTTCAAATAAGAGAAGGATAAAAAAAAAAAGAGAAACTAAAAAAAGTTTCAGCTTTTCATTTTACCTTTTTCTTTTCTTTCAATATTTTTATCTGAAAAAAAAAAAAAATGATTTTTTTTCTTTCAAATTTTTATTACCCAAAACTGTCATAGGGTATACCTTATTTTTCATTACTTTTTTTTCCCCCCCCTTTATTGTTTATTGTTCGTAATATTATTATTTTTGTTGATATTATTATTATTATTATTATTATTATTATTATTGACTATTATTACTATTCTTATATTACTAATGATATTATTATTTAGTGCCCAATAATCTTAGCTTTAGTATTATTTAGTTTTATAACACTCATTACAGAAATGTTGTTGGTTATATTGGCGACATTGAGGGATTAAATAGAAGAAAAATTTTTGTATGCAAAAATTCAATGTTCACATTTTAGTGACTTTTATTTTCAAAAAAAAAAAAAAAAAAAGTAATTTTTGTTTTGTATTGTTGTCAGTTTTTTCCTATTTTTATTGGGATACGATATATGCTGATTGATAATAAGATGTGAGGCACGGGTCTTCTTTTTTGTGAGAACGTCGAACAAATATTTCGATGTATTAATCGGCAGTTGAGGTTTTAAAAAAAAAAATTAGCTGCTATCATAGATCAGGAGGAAAAAAAAATTAAGGAAAAAGAAAAGGAGAATAACATTTTTTTTTCTTCCAAATTATTTTTTTCAATTTTTAGTTTTGTTGAAGCAATTTTTGTTGTTGTTTTTGCTATTGCTGTTGCTGCTGCCGTTGTTGTTGTTGTTGTTGTTGTTGTTATTGTTGTTGTTGCTGTTATGTAACTTTAGCTGATTGATTTGTCGGAAGTTAAGCAGGAACTGTGATGTATCAGAAACTGGGAGGAAGGGGGGGGGACTTTTGCCATGTAAATTTTCAAGAATTTATATAATTATATGCTTCGTTTTTTTTTCG